TGGCAAGGGTAGGGGGCCACAATGGGGGTGGGGCCTCATGACAGGAAGGGGTGTGACCCTTGGATGGGGTTGGGACCCCATGGCCAAAGGGGGTGGAGCCTTGTGGCAGGAAGGGGAGTGGCCTCATGATGGGGCTAGGGCCTCGCGGGGGAAATAGCGGGGTCAAAAGAAAGAGGTGGGGCCTGGCCCCGTGATGAGGGTGGGGCCCGATGGCAGGGGGCGGGGCCCCATGGCAAGAGGGGGTGTGGCGGTGTGACCCTTGGATGGGGTTGGGACCCCATGGCCAAAGGGGGTGGAGCCTTGTGGCAGGAAGGGGAGTGGCCTCATGATGGGGCTAGGGCCTCGCGGGGGAAATAGCGGGGTCAAAAGAAAGAGGTGGGGCCTGGCCCCGTGATGAGGGTGGGGCCCGATGGCAGGGGGCGGGGCCCCATGGCAAGAGGGGGTGTGGCCTGATGCAGCTAGGGGGCGTGAAGAACAGGGTCAAGAGGGAGATGGGGCCTGATAGCAGGCGGCATGGCCTGGCCCCATGCTGGGGGCGGGGCCTCGCGCCAGGGGCGGGGCTGACCTTGAGGCAGTTGTAGCCGATGATGCAAAGGAAGGCGACGAGCGTGTGCACCAGGGCCAGCAGCTGCAGCGTGGGCTGCATGTAGCCCGTGCTCTCCTCCAGGAAGTAGTAGACCACGCTGTCCTCGTCCTCATCCTCGTCGCCCGCGCCCAGCGCCCCCCAGCCGGACCCGCTGCCCGGCTCCTCCTCCAGCCCCGAGCCCTCCAGCTCCTCCTCGCCCGGTGGAGAGTCCGACACCTGCGGGGGGGAGCTGTGAAGGGGGGGGAGGCACCTCCCGAAACCCACTCCTCCCGGCCCTAACCCACCCCGCTCCCAGAGGCGTCTGGGCCCCCGCTCCCCTCCCCGAGCCGGGAGAGACGCCAGGCGTCTGGGCTCACCTTGTAGAAGAGCAGGATGAAGTTGATGGCGAAGGCGAGGAAGAGCGCCAGGAACCGCAGGTTGTAGAAGTTCCGTGACAGGTAGTTCTGGGGGGGTGCCATGGGGGTCAGAGCCCCTGGCCCCACCCCCTCCCATCTGGCCACTCCCTCTCCCTGCCCAGCCCTCTCCCACCTGACCCCACCCTCCCTACCCAACCCCAGTCCCTCTGCCCCAGCTCTGCCCTTTCCT